GGAGGCTGCGTGAGTGGAGGGGTCACCTCCGCCTTCACCCCTCCGCGGGCTGGGGAGGGAGGCTTTAGCCGTGGGGTCGGGGTTGCCCTGGGGGGAGATCGGTGCCGGTAGTTCGGGGTTGAGGCGGTGCTGTGGTGAAATGGGTGGGTTTCAGGCCTATCTCAGGGGTTATTCGTGCGGGTAAAAAAATGGTCACAGGTGGTTTCTAGTGCGATTTGCTGAAAGAAGAATCAGCTTTGAGGTGGGGCTTGAGGTACTGAGGGCTTGAGAAACCTTCTGGCCTTGAAAATCATAGGATGTATTGGGTTGGGAGGGACTTTCAAAGGTCATTTAGTCCAATCCCCCCTGCAGTGAGCAGGGACATCTTCACTAGAGCAGGTTGCTCAGAGCCCCATCAAGCCTGACTTTGAGTATCTCTAGGGATGGGGCCTTCACCAGCTCTCTGGGCAACCTGTTCCAGTGATCCACCACCCTCATACTGAAGAACTTTTTCCAAATATCCAACCTAAATGGACCCTTTTCTAGTAGATTTCAGTATAGGAATATCTCTAGGGAAAGGGAATAACCATCTCTCTGTGCTGCTGCTTGACTGCCCTCCTGGTGAAAAAATCATAGAATCATGGAATGGTTTGGATTGGAAGGGACCTTAAAGCTCATCCAGTTCCAACCCCCCTGCCAGCAGCAGGGACACCTTCCACTAGACCAGGTTGCTCAAAGCCTCATCCAGCCTGGCCTTCAACACTTCCAGGGAGGAGCAGCCACAACTTCCTTGGGCAACCTGTTCCAGTGTCTCACCACCCTCACAGTGAAGAACTTCCTAATATCTCATCTAAACCTCCCCTCTTTCAGCTTAAACCCATTTCCCCTTGTTTTGTCATTAACTGCCCTTATGAAAAGTCCCTCCCCAGCTTTCTTGTAGCCCCTTCAGGTACTGGGAGGCCGCTATAAGATCTCCCCGGAGCCTTCTCCAGGCTGAACAGCCCCAACTCTCTCAGCCTGTCCTCACAGCAGAGCTGCTCCAGCCCTCGGATCATCCTGGTGGCCTCCTCTGGACTTGTTCTAACTGCAATAATCTTTGTAAAAACATTATTCATGTGTGCTAGATAGAGACCAAACAGTGAGGGGAGCTGCTCTCCTTGCACAGTGCAGTAAACGGGAGGCTTAAAAAAACACAGAATGTGTATGTGTTGGAAGGGACCTCTGGAGATGATCTAGTCCAACCCCCCTGCCAAAGCAGGTACATCTAGAGCAAGCTGCACAGGATCACATCCAGTCAAATCTAGAGCAAGTTGCACAGGATCACATCCAGTCAAGTTTGGAATATCTCCAGAGAAGGAGACTCCACACCCTCTCTGGGCAGCCTGTGCCAGTGCTCTGTCATCCTCACAGTAAAGCAGTTTTTTGTCATCTTCAGATGAAACCTCCTGTGTTCCAGTTTGTGCCCACTGCCCTGTAGGTATTGATCTGCATTGATAACATCCCCTCTCAGTCTGCTCTTCTCCAGGCTAAACACACCCAGCTCTCTCAGCCTTTCCTTAGCAGAGAGATGCTCCGGTCCCCTCATCATCGCTGTACCCTCCACTGGACTCTCTCCAGTATTTCCTGGTCTCTCTTGAACTGGGGAGCCCAGAAGTGGACACAGCACTCCAGATGTGGCCTCACTGGGGCACAGTAGAGAGGGAGGAGAACTTCCCTTGATCTGCTGGCAGAAATGCCCTTTTTCAGTCTAGAAGTTACAGGCAGAAATACCCTCATGGTTTCTTTGGTGGGGTATCAGAACTGTGAAGTTTTTCCACTGATTTCCAACATGACTTCAATCAAGTTACAAACCTGCTGTCTCAGTCAGGTGTCTGCTCTTCCCCACATCTCATGCTTTGAGGTTCATTGGTTTTGTTAGCAAGTTTCATTCATGCAACACCAAATATAACCCTGGAATCAACCTGTTGGGAGTTTTTTTGATAAAAGTTAATGGGACTGTAACTGTAGAATTTGTGTATGTGAAACTGTAACTCCCACTCATCTTTGCCTACTTCCCTGTAGTTTGTCAGGTCTCAAAGCTTATTTTTTTAAAAAGTGAGCAAGCTCCTGAAATTAACAGTTCTTTGTAGAGCATTTTCCCTTTTCTCAACAATATTTCTAGCTCACTGGGTATCTAAGCTAATTTAATTAGGATTAAATTAATCCTGTGATTTTACTGGGGTTAAGGAAACAAGAATGTTAGGAGAACTACCGTCTGTCCTAACCTGCTGCTTGAGAGGCTAGAGGGACTTGGGGAAATTGGATTTGCCTGCTAACTGCATGAAAGGAGGTACTGGAGACATTTTTAAAAGAACTAATTCTGTCTTGTTCATTTTCTAAGGGAGAAGCTCACAAGAGGGTTGGCTTTCTTGGTGAGAAAACCAGCGTGGTTTCTGCCCGTGTCTTTTGTTTGTTTAAGGAAGAAGTTTGTGGTGTGAATGACACTTTGTGGTTCAGAGATAATCTGTGTCTCTAACAACAGATTATTTTTTTTTTCTTTGACTTGTCCTGATTGTGTCTCAAGGATTTGCACAAAATGCTTCAATTTCTATGTTCAGGATAGCAATTCTATATATTCTTATATATAGAAAGAGTTGGCTGAGAGAGTTGGGGCTGTTCAGCCTGGAGAAGAGAAGGCTCCAGGGAGATCTTATAGCGGCCTCCCAGTACCTGAAGGGGCTACAAGAAAGCTGGGGAGGGACTTTTCATAAGGGCAGTTAATGACAAAACAAGGGGAAATGGGTTTAAGCTGAAAGAGGGGAGGTTTAGATGAGATATTAGGAAGAAATTCTTCACTGTGAGGGTGGTCAGACACTGGAACAGGTTGGCCAGAGAAGCTGTGGCTGCTCCTCCCTGGAAGTGTTGAAGGCCAGGCTGGATGAGGCTTTGAGCAACCTGGTCTAGTGGAAGGTGTCCCTGCTGATGGCAGGGGGGTTGGGACTGGATGAGCTTTAAGGTCCCTTCCAACCCAAACCATTCTGTGATTATATATTGTCCTGAATTGGAGTCTTATCATTTGTAAGATTTCATTACTGTCCAAGTAAATGCCATTGGATTGAAGGGGAAACAAACAGAGATCACAACGTGTCTTTTCTCAGAGCAATATAAGGCCAATCCACAGCAAATGGGAACTTCTGTACCTCATTACAAGGCTCTGCTGAAACAGGAATTTGGGCATTTTCCTTAACATTGCTGAGAATTTTACTCCTCCCTGGGCAGCAGCAGCAGCACTTGAGATGTGGCCTCTTTGCACAGATGGTCTGTTTCTGGTTTATCTTGGAAGTACTTTTTATTTTTCCTCAGAGCTTTCTTTTGTCTTTAGTTTTAAACCCTGTATTAACT